TCCTCATCCTCATCCTCCTCCTCATCCTCATCCTCATCCTCATCCTCATCATCATCATCATCATCATCATCATCATCATCATCAGCATCATCCTCATCCTCATCTTCATCCTCCTCCTCCTCATCCTCATCATCATCAGCAGCAATCATCATCAGCATCATCATAACCACCACCACCACCATCGCCATCGCCATCGCCATCACCATCAGCATCAGCATCACCATGACCATCATCGTAATCATCATCATCATCATCATCATCATCATCATCATCATCATCATCATCATCATCATAATCATCCTTATCCTCCTCATCATCATACTCCTCCCCCTCATCCTTCTCCTTTCCCCTCCCCCTCCACCTCCCCCTCCTGCTCATGCTCCTTCTTATCCTCCTCCTCCGATTCCTCCTCCATCTCCACATCCTCCTCCACCTCCTCCTCCTCCTCCAACTCCGACTCCATGCTGTTTCTCGTAACCAACTCCTCCCTGTCGCACCCCTAGGCGTGCTGGTGTTGCGGCCCAGGTGCGCCTGATACGTTCTCACCGCTTATGATCCTGAAGCTTGAAGCTTGCAACAGCTTCAAAGATGGAGGGGGGCGGCTTTCAGAATGTGGTTTTCGTCTTAGCGCCGCGCACATTCAAATGCGCTCGAAGTTCGCAAGAGCTTCAATGATGGAGGGAAGGGGGGTTAGAATGTAGCCCTCGCTTTCGCACCGCGCACATTCGCCTTAAACGCTTGCAGCAGTTGCAAACATGGAGCAAGATGGCGTTCGAAATGTGGCTATCACCGCAGCGCCGCGCACATTCGCCGTGAAGGTGCGCAACGTGTTCAAGGATTGAGGGTGGTTCTTTCCAGAATATGACTCTCGTCTTCGCGCCGCACATATTCGTTCATAAGGGTTGCAGCAGCTTCGAGGATTGAGGGTTGTTCTTATCAGACTATGACGATCGCCTTCGCGCCGCGCACAATGGTCTTTGAAGTTTGCAACCGCTTCAAGGATTGAGGGTGGTTAAGTTTCCAAATGTGGTTCTCGCCTCAGCGCCGCGCACATTCGTCATGAAAGAGCTCAACCGTTCCAAGGAATGATGGTAGCTCGTTTTCAAAGTGTGGTTCTCGCCTTCTGAACGCCGCGCACGTTCGTCTCAAGAGTGTGCAATCGTTTCAAGGATGGAAGGCGGTTCGTTCGCAGGATGTGCCTCTCGCGCCGCGCAGTTTCGCCCGAAACATGCTGCAACATACTAAGGATTGATCACAAGTGGTTTTCAAAATGCGACTCCCCCCTAAGCGCCACGCACATTCGTTTTTTGCGCATCGGTCAAAAAGGTGGAGGACTGCTCGTTGCTTCTCCCCCAAAGACAACCCGAAATAACTCTCGCTAGACACTTCTATAACCTTGATGACCCCAAGCTTCAACGCATGAAGCACTGCACTGGCACAGGGCGGCTCTGTTTCAAAATGGAGCCCACGCTTAAAAGAAAAGCGTGAACTGGCGCAACAGGTATACGGATGGGGGTAGTCCTTCTTCGACAGGGGAATTGCTGGACCCCTCGCTCAACTGTATGATCGTAGTCTCTCTCATCCTTGATTGCTGACGTGCCAGAATGACATAACGCAGCAAATGGTTCAAGACAGGACCCTGTCCGAAACGGCAGGCCAAATTGAGGTGGATCTTCAATACCACAAGTGCGCGCCGCGCGATGCCTTCAGGATTTTCCTCGCAGCAACTGGGCAGCACTGAAAAAGACGCTCACCCCACACACACACACACACACACACACACACACACACACACATACCACAACAACAACAACAACAACAACAACAACAACAACAACAACAACAACAACAACCACAACCACAACCACAACCACAACCACAACCACAACCACAACAACAACAATCATTTCAAGACTGTTCGCCATTATCTGCTCGAGTGTCCAATAACGCGTATTTTCCAAACCCTCGATACCCGCCCTCTTCGTCTTCGATCGAACCCCTTTTGGGGGGTATACCTTTCTTCCCTGCAGGCCGGGCCCCGGCAAGCGGCGGGGCGGCCGCGGACCGTTGGCCTGGCCAACGGCAGCGCTGATCGGCGGGGCGGCCGCGGACCGGCAACCCGACCCCAAGAGGGACGGACAGGGGACCGACCACGACACGACGACGACGACGACGACGACGTCGACGACGACGGCAACGCCGGCGACGGCGACGACGACGAGCGAAAGCGAGAGCGAGACTGAACGACAGCAGAGCCACGAAGGACAAGAAGTAGGCCACGAAGGGCGACAGCGGGGACACGAAGGGAATGCGTATGGGGCCACGAAGAGCGCGAACGAGCGTGGGCCACGAAGGGCAGATAATGCGGGGCCACAGAAGGCAACGATGGGGCCACTGAGGGTAGCACCTGGGCCACGTAGGACAATGAGGGGGCCACAAACGGCGACAGCGGGGCCACGAAGGGCATGCACATGGGGCCACAAGGGCGCGAACGGGCGGGGGCCACGAAGGGCATACGTATGTTGGGCCGCGAGGGTAAGGACGGGGCCACTGTGGGCAGCAACGGGGACACGAAGGGCAGCGAGGGGGCCACGAAGGGCGACAGCGGGGCCACGAAGGGCATGCATATGGGGCCACCACGGGCGCGAACGAGCGGGGGCCACGAAGGGCATACATATATGGGGCCACGAAACAAAGCGAGGGGGCCACGAAGGGCTGCAACGGGGCCACGGAGGGCAGCGAGGGGGCCACGAAGGGCTGCAACGGGGCCACGAAGCGCTGCAACGGGGCCACGGAGGGCAGCGAGGGGGCCACGAAGGGCTGCAACGGGGCCACGAAACAAAGCGAGGGGGCCACGAAGGGCTGCAACGGGGCCACGAAGGGCAGCGAGATCCCGATTCCTAGGTAATCTGTGAAAGATTCCTAAGCGTGAGCGCGACTCCTGGGTGCCTGGGTGTCGGGAGCGCGGCGCTGGAGTAAATTGCAAGAAATTCCAACGCAAGGGCGCTATTGTTCGGTAAATTGCAAGCAAGTCTCCAGCGAGAGCGCGACTCCAAAGCGCAGGAAGAGCGATCCCTGAATAAATCGTAAGGAAGTCCCAAGCGACAGCGCGATTCTTGAATAAAATGAAAGGAAGTCTCGGGCGGGAGCGGGGGTCCTGGCTAAATTGTGAGGAAGTCTCAGGCGGGAGCCGTTGTTGTTGTAACCCGGAGGCCAGGGGGCCAGTCTGAGCAGGAAGACTTTCCTTGTCAAAAAACAAGGTACGAGCCCCGGGGGGGCACTTCAATTGAAAAAAACCATGTGCACCGGTGTGGGGGGATCAACAATAATTATTATTCAAGAATGAGAGTTCAACAACAACAAAACAACAACAACAACAACAACAACAACAACAACAACAACAACAACAACAACAACAACAACAACAACAACAACAACAACAACAACAACAATTACTAGCACGTGGGGACACTCCGTTCTCACCAGTGCCAGGGTTTTCATAGGAGGCGGGCAATACCCCCACTTTGTGGGGGGGCCGGTTCAAGCTCTACCAAATTTCCAAACGACTCTTCGCCACCACCCACACCCAGCTTCCCGCCCTATGACGTTCGGACACTTCACTTCGTGGCATGCGGACGACCGTGGCTACTATTCAGGGCCCCGCGGCCGACGACGACGGCGTGCGCGCGCGAAGAAAAAACGAATGTGTCCCGCATGGTATTATTTGACAGGGATGATGGCCCTGGCAGGTGCGCAACCGTTGTTGCAGAAGTTCGAAAAAGTTGCTCGCAAAAGCCCGTTTGACAGAAATGTTTAAAAAGTGTTGGGTTTCCTACGAATCCGCAAGAGCGCGCGGGATGAAATGTTGACAATTGTTTTTTGAAAAACCATTGGTTTTTTGATGTTTTTATTAAAAAATCGCTACGAAAACTAAGGTTTTGGAAGGATTTCGTCTTGCGCGCGCGAATGTCCACTTTACCTTATTTTTGTGCAAGGGATTCTTGAAGTTTGATTATGTTAGAACAAGAAATGTCCACTTTACCTTATTTTTTGCAAGGGAAAGCGGGGGACAACAAAACAACCGGATCTGGATCACATCGTTTTGCCTGAGGCTTCCTCACGAAAATGATGAAAACGTGGCTGCGGCCTAGGCGCGGCGGGGGGGGCGCGCACCAGGGCTCCCAACAATAATTATTCTTAATAAGAAATAATGTTCAACAACAACAACAACAACAACAACAACAACAACAACAACAACAACAACAACAACAACAACACCAACACCAACAACAACAACAACAACAACAACAACAACAACAACAACAACACGAACAAACACAACAACAAAGACAATCATAACAACAACAACAACAACAACAACAACAACAACAACAACAACAACAACAACAACAACAACAACAACAACAACAACGACGACGATGACGACGACAACAACAACCACAACAACAACTTAAAAAAACGCGCGCGAGCCTTCAGCGAGCGATTCCCTGGAGCGCGTGCTCACCAGACCTCTTGAAGCGTGTGCTCAGCTGAGCTTCGAGGCGGATCCAGCCGTCCCGACGAGGAGTATCCCAGGGGCCCACGTACATACGTACAGGCGGCCCCCGCATCGAATCGGTAAGTCGAATCGGATCGACCCGAACATCGAGTGGGCAGAAATCGGCTGAAAAATCGAATCGGCAGAGGTCGGCAGAGCCAAGTCGGATCGAATCAGGCAACGGGATCGCGTCAAGCCGGATCGGAATCGAAATCGGGAGGGCAAAAAAAGGAAGTGGAGGAGATGATAGGCCCTCCCTCCAGCTCTCCTCGTCCCGACCTTCGTCGTCGCATGTCGTCGTTGACGTCGTCGTATGTCGTCGTGCGCACATCGTCGCATGCGTCGTCGCATGTTGTCGCACACGTTTTTGTCGCATGCCGTCGCGCACGCTCGCACGCGTCAACTCTCGGTTTGGCTCGTCCAACCACTCGATTTGGGCCCCCCCTTTCATTGGCGGCCAGCGCGGGGGGGAAGTGAGAAGGGGCAGGCCTTCTCAGAAGTCTCGGAAGTCCCCCAGCCTCCTGAGAAGATGTTTAAGCCTTCCCCGAAGATATAAACAACCTCTCGGAAGGCCAGAGGGCTTCTGAGAAGTCCCGCCCGCCGCCTTCTGAGAAGGCCTTCTCCTTTTCACGTCCCCCCCTCGCTCGCCGCCGGGCACCAGTCGTGATCTCTCAGGGTGTTGCAACTTGTTCGCGACGTCCAATCTCAGGGTGGGCCGCAGGCGGTGGACAGCCAGGCGACGACGACGCCGACGCCGGCGACGTCCTCCTCCGCCTCCTCCTCCTCCTCCTCCTCCTCCTCCTCCTCCTCCTCCTCCTCCTCCTCCTCCTCCTCCTCCTCCTCCTCCTCCTCCTCCTTTTCCTCACTTCCTCCCCTCGCTCGCCGCCGAGGTTTGGCTCGTCCAACCATCCGATTGGCCCCACCGTCCCCTTCCAGGGCCCCCACCCTCGGGCCCGCCCTCGAGGACCCCTTGGGGGGGCCCTCGGGGGGGGGAGGCCCTCGGGGGCCTCTTGTTTCAGTGGGGCATGCCCCTCTACAGAGGGGACGTTCAGGAATGACAGTTTCTAAAAAAGTCTGGGGGCGATTCTTCGCTCTCTTGTTTGGCTGTGTGTTGCTCCTGTTCTGGCCGTTTCTGTAGGAGGACCTACCCGACCTAAGCCCATTGAGGGGGCCCTCTGGGGACTGGGGGGCCCCTCGGGCGGGCCCCATTGGGGGCCCTTCGGGGGCCCCGACGAGGCTCCTTGGGGGCCCCCTTCGGGGCCCCCTCGGTCGAGGCCCCGTCGACATCGCAGCAGTCGTCGCCATCCTCAAGGAACTTCGGGATCCTTCGGGGACCTTCGGGCCGAACCGACCCGCCGGACCCGGCCGAAGTGGACCAGACGAACCGACCCGATGGCCTGTCGTACTGGACCGAACCGAAAGGCTGATCGCATCGGCAGGAGTCGGATCGGGCGAACTCGAGATCGGAGTCGCGAATCGGAATCTCCGCATCGAATCTGTTCGAATCGGCACCAGGGGAAATCGAATCGAATCGAACCGGCAGAGTCGGAAGGACCGCAGACGTATGTAGACCGATCTGAATGTGTTAACGAACAAAAAGGCACAATTAGGTCGGGCATGTCCCCCTACGGGGGGATCTTGAACGAAAAATCAAACAAACAAACAAAAAAAAAAAAAAAAAACAAAAAAAACGTCCCCTGACTACTTTTGACTATCTTTGAATAGTCCTCCTGTAGAGGGACAGGCCCGACTTGAGCATAGCACGACAAGAAGTGGCGCGCCCGAGCCTTCAGCGAGCGGTTCTCTGGAGCGCGCCCGCCAAAGACCACCATCATGCCGGCCTCCGCACGCCGCGCGCGCGGCGCGGAGGCTCGCCGCCAGCGCCGACGACGCCGACGCCGACGCCGACGCCGACGCCGACGCAAACGACGACGACGACGACGACGACGACGACGACGACGACGAAAACGACGCCGACGCCGACGACGACGACGACGACGACGACGACGACGACGACGACGACGACGACTTTTGCTCAGTATGCTAGAGGCCTCCTAGATGGGGTCGGAGTAGATGGGGTCGGAGGATCGCGCCGCATCGCCGATGCATCGGCGATGCAGCGGCGATGCATCGGCGATGCATCTTCGATGCACAGGCGATGCATCGCCGACGTCAGCGATGCACCGGCGATGCATCGGCGACGTCGGCGTGGGGAAACACGGCATCCGCATCGAGCCGCATCGTCGCTGCATCGGCGATGCGGCGCGCTCTACTCCGACCCCGCCCGCTCCGGCCCCATCTGGGAGGTCAAGGTGTGCGGCCCCTGGAAGCCCCGACCCCTTCCGCAGGGCCGGCAAGCCCTCCCGAGCCGCTCCTCCACGGCCCGGGGCCCCGCCGAGGGCCCCCCGAGGCCAAAGGCCTTCGGCCCTGATCTTTGTCACGACGCGAGGGGGTCTGATCTTTGCCACGACCCAAGGAGGCCGACAACGGCCAAAAGCCTCCGGTCGTGACTCCTGTCGCAACCCGAGGCGGTCTTGGTTCGTTCCCAGACCCCCTCGCGCTGTGAAAAAAAAAATCGCGACGAGAGGTCTTTCATCATTCTCGGCCTCCCGGGGCCCTTCCCGGGCCTCGGGACAGTCCGAAAACGACTCCGGAGGAGAAACTGGGTTCCCAGGAAGGGGTCCAGACTCCGGAGGGGCACGTGGCGAAAAAAACACGACGTCGGGGGTCTGGGTTCCCAGACCCCCGACGTCATGATTTTTTCCTGACGCGACCTCCAGAGGTCTGGACCGATTCCCCGGGACATCCCGAGTCGTTTTTTGACGGTCCCGAGGGCCGGTAAGGGCCCCGGGAGGCCGAAAATAACGAAGAACCTCCCGTCATGATTTGTTCATGACTGCTGTTAACGGGCGAAGAACGGCATAAAATAAACTTTTTCGCTGTCGGGGGCGCCTGTCCCTGGGCGGCTGGAAAGTTTATACCCCTACGGTGCCACCGTAGGGGTATAAACTTTCCAGCCGCCCAGGGACAGGCGCCCCCGACAGCGAAAAAGTTTATTTTATGCCGTTCTTCGCTCGCTGATTCTGAGGGGCACGTGGCGAAAAAAACACGACGTCGGGGGTCTGGGTGCGTTCGCTCCTTCGCTCTGCGGCTGACGCCCCCGTGGGCCAGCCCAGTCATGACTCTCGGGCCTCCAGCGGCCGCGCGGGGCGCAGGAGGGCCCCTGGGCGAGGCGCAGATGCCGGGAACGTACACTCTGCGAGATGCTTAAGAAATCATGGGTTAAGAAACCCTCCAAGAGACCCCCAGGAAGCTCCAAGAGGCCCCCACGAGGCTTCCAAGCGGCCCCTGAGAGCTTCCCAAGAGGCCCACAAACTACCCTCAAGAGGCCCCCAAGAGCGCTCGTCGTCGTCGTCGTCGTCGTCGTCGTCGTCGTCGTCGCCATTCAGGGTCGGCGGCACTGGCCGTAAGGCCTTCGCAATGCTTAAGAAATCATAGGTTAAGAAAGTCATAGTCTCAGAATTTGAATAAAAACGCTGAATTTCTGCTATATTTTTAGGATCTACACTGAAACCGTAAGAATAATCGAGACTCTGGCCGAAGCCTTCCGTTTTCTTAAGCATCGCCTAGGGTGTATCCCGAGGATGGAAAACCGCCGACAACAAAACGGACCCCCCCAACGGCGCCTCCGGCGACGCCCCTGGCGCGCCCCGCGCGCCAGGGAGGGGGGTGCAGCGCAGATCCAAGAGATCCGCGCGGAGCGCAGACAGTTCATGTTTATGGCGTGTGCTTTTTCTTCGACCAACGCCCGGTGAGGGATGCCAGGCCTCCGAAGTCGGTGGCCCACCGTGGCCTTCCCAGCGTGGCCCCCCCAGCGTGGCCCCCCCATCGTGAACTGCGTGAAGCTGTTCAGGGCCTCCTGCCGCAAGGGTGCTTAATTCTGCAACCCTGTGTTCTTCTTCCTTGGCCCCCGCCTGGGCGTGCTATTCTGATTAACCAAACAAAGGGCCCGTAACCCTTGCAAGTCTGCCTAGCTGAACCAGATCGGGTTCGCGACTTGCTCAGACTGAGAACAGCGAACTTGTGACCCACTTGTAGGCACCTGGCAACTGTACGACTGCTGAAAGTCGAACCGACCACTACAGCGTGGGCGCCAGATCCGCGGATCGTGAGAAGGCGAAAACCCACCCTCACCCCCAGTCCCGACCCCATCCCCGAACGCGCGATCCAGGGGTTCGACGTTTTTCGGGATCCAAGGAAGGGGAAGACGCCCCCACTCCCGGTACCGTCCCCTTGAATCGCTGGCTCGGGGATGGGAGTCGAGACCGAGGGTGGGAGTGGGCTTTCGCCACCTGAGATCGTGGCAGGTACGACCAGAAGCATGGCGCCTGTGCAGCCTGACTCGGCGACGGAGCGCACGGAAGCGGGAACCGTCGCGGATCCACGCGCCTCAAGCCGCGTCTGCGTTTCCTCGACCCTCTGCGACGCCCCCGGCACTCGCCCTCTCCTGAGCAGGGCAAGGAAGGTGCACCGATACCGCGGCTCCCTGGGCCTCGCCCAGGGTGCGCTGCGACCATGACTTCTCGGAACGAAGGCAGCGTCGCAGCGCTATCTCTACGAAGAACTGACATGTCGATGTCGACGCGCTAGGTCTACGTCTGACCACGATGTCGAAATGAAGACGACGACGACGACGACGACGACGACGACGACGACGACGAAACCGAGCCCACGCCGCCCATCCCTTCGTTGGCGACAGGGCACCGATGGCGCGGCACCAGCCTCCTGGTCATCACCCCGTCTTGAGGGGGGCCGTCCTGGCCTGGCCAATCTCTCCGGGCGGACCCGAGGCGGCGGGCGGCGGCGGTGCTGGTCTCTGCGGGCCTCTCCTGGGGGTGCGCGCTGACCAGGAGCTCGGAGCGCATCCGGGAGGCCAAGAAGGCGAACAGCGGTGCCGGGGCTCGTGTCGTGCCGACTTCGGCGTTGGTCTCTGACACCGCGGGGATCGTTCCAGCTTGAAAGATCGGTGAATTCCCGCAACGCCAGTCAGATCGTTCAAACATCGACCGATTCTGGGCCGCTGGCGGCTGCAACGCTGAACGCTGGCGGCAGGGTCGCTGCCTGTCGACACGACGCGAACCGACCGCACCTACTTCTCTGACTCTCCCCCCCTGTCGGGGAGACGTAAGACTCGGGTTCGGGGGACTCGGGTTGGCCTGACGGGGCCATCATGAAAATGGCCAGACCCAGTCTGAATCTGACGCGAGCTCCCGCTGCAGACATCTCCAGGACGCGCTCGTCAAAAAGAGTCGGCTGACCTGAGTTTCGGCGTACCCGTAGGTCGGAAGAAGTGGGTAGAAACATGAAGCAGGAAGGCGTTGGAAGTAGATTGGGCTTCGGCCCGCCCCCTGAAGGGGAGGAAGGGAAGAGGGAAAACTGCTAGACTCTTGAAGTAGGGAGGCGCCCAAAGTAGATGGGGATCTGAGGATCCGAAACCACCTAGTTTCAACGACCGACGGGCACGGGAGTCTTGGGCGTACTTGAGTCTTAGTGAAGGGGCCCCAGGACACACAAATTCGCCGGCCCAACGGGCCAGGGCGTGCTAAGATCTCCGGTAACTGGTTAACAGTATTAACAGTATTTCTAGTTCGCGCGCGCGGGGCGGCCCCTGGGGGTCCCCCGGCGAAAAGTACCCCGACCAACGCCCGGTCCGCCGCCCGACCAAGTCTACTCAGAGATGGTTTTCCTTCTGGGTGCGGCCTCTCAGGCTCCCCAGAGCGCGCTCAGAGTGCCCCAAGAGGCCCCCAAGACTGCCCAAGAGGCCCCCGAGACGCCCAAAGAGCGCTCGAAGACGCCGAAGATGACCCCAAGACGGCCCAAAAGGCCCCCAAGACAGCCCAAGAGGCCTCCAAGACGCCCCAAGAGCCTTCCAAGAGGCCTCCGAAGAGAGCCCCAAGAGGCCAAAATCGTTGATTTTCATTGGTTTTTTCGATGTTTTTTGTGTTCTGGCTTTTTCGGCTTCCGGACGCTCCAAGACGGCCCAAGAGGCCCCCAAGACCGCTCCAAGACGGCCCACGAAGCTCCCAAGACGGCGCCGAAACGACCCAAGAGAGCCCTCAAGACGGCCCAAGTGCCGCCCAAGACGGACCAAGAGGCCCCAAGACGGGCCCAAGAGGGACTCAGGAGGGATACCGAGAACTCAAAAATGGAGCCCTCCGTCCCAGAAGGCGCCCAGGAGGTCCCAAAGAGGCCCCAAGAGGCCTCCAAGAGGCCCCAAGATGTCGCCAAGAGGCCCCAGGAGACTCCCAGGAGGCCCAAAAGAAGCCCCAGAAGGCTTCAAACATGTCTCCCAGGCGCCCCCGAACGGCCTCTCAACAGACCCCAAGAGGCCCCCCAAAGAAGCATCTTGACGACGACTCTATTTCGCCCCATCGAGAGACGACCCCCAGGGAACTGCTTCACCATCAAAACTCCCCACGCAACGCGTCCGAACGACACCCGCTCCCAAGAGCGCAACATGGGCAACGAACAGACAGACAAAAACCAGCGATGCCATATCACGGGCCGGCGGAATGAGCGAAGCGATTCAATAAATACACACAAATCAAAAGATCCCCCATATGTTCCCATATTTTCTGGGTTTTTGTCTTCCCCCCACTTCCCATATTTTCCCATATTTTCTTGGGAGTCGACGATTAATTGTGTCTGTGTGTTTTTCCCCCTCCTGACTTAGGCGTCGCTTAATGGGGGGCGGGGGAAGGGTGCCCTTCTCGGGGCCCAGAGGCCATCTGTGGGGCCCCGAAGGGCTCCTGCAGGGGCCTCCTCCGGGGCCCCCCTTCTGCAGCCCTCGCTGCCCCCCCACTGTGTGCACGATCTCTTATGCGGCGCTTCGACACTGGTCGGCCGTGGACAAACCTCCCTCTAGTAAACCTCCCCTCAGTGAAAAAGGCCTGGGACCGAAACCGACGGACCTGGACCCGCAAAAATGACGGCCGCGAAGCCCTCTCGCGAACCGAAAACGGCCAATTCCTCAATCGACGTGTCAGGGTAGGAGGTCCATCAACCTCCGAACTGGGCGGAAGGGGCAAGGAGCGGGAGGGTCTGGCTCCGGACCTCTGCTCCATGCGGCGGTTTGCAACAGTGCGCCCTGCGGGGGAGACCCCCCCTGCTCGAAGCAGGCGCCAGAGACAGCCAAGATCTACTCCACACGGGGGGGAGAGGGGGGAGGGTGCGAGGGCCCGCGCCGACCGGCAAAACAGCTAGAAAGAGAACGACGACCATCGCCCCCCAACACGCGACGCCCAGGAGTCATGCTTTGGAGTCCCGAAACGGTGTGGTGACAGACCGTGCGGTGACCTCGAAACCCCAAGAGACCTCACCGCACGCTCCGTCACCGCACGGTCTTGGGACCCTGGAGGCCCCTGTCGCCCCAAACCTCGGAGAGGGACTCGAGTCCCAAAACCGAGCGGTGGCAGCGGTGACCCCGAATCCCCACCGACTCACCGCACGGTGTGGTCACCGCACCGTTTGGGGGCCCCCGACTTACTCGGGAGCGGCCAAGAGGGGGGCGTCCAAGAGGGGGGGGGGGGTGCAAATCATGGCCCGGCGGCGTGTGCGCGGCCCAGCGGGGGGGCCAGGGACTTAGTGAGATAAGAAGAGACGCCATGAAATCTGGCGAGATGTCGTGGCGCACGCCATGATATCCCCCCCCCTTAGTCATCCCCCCCTCTTTACCGCCCCCGACTCACGCGCCCCCCTCCCCCCCCGCCCCCCCCGACCTACGCCCCCCCCACCGCCCCCTGGTCACCACCCCCCTCTTCGCCGCCCCCCCGACTCACGCCCCCCCCCCTCCGCCCCCCCCCTCCGCCCCCCCCCCCGGGGAGCTCGGCGGGCGGGGGCAGACCGCGGGGCCCTCCCGGCAGACGTCCGCCGAGTGGTAGAC